TAACATTTATATTCAAATGCATTTATGCGCTGTTCCGCTTGTTTAGTAAGTGTCCAGGTCTCACAGGCGTATGTTGCAAAGGGAAAGATGCATGCTCTTAAAAATCTGACCTTTGTAATTCTATCTGTACAATTCCATAATTTATTTAGTTGCTTTAGTCTTTGAAGAGCAATTGATAGTCGCCGTTTAATTTCTTTCATTGTGTCACCATTGTTGGTAACCAGTGACCCAAGATATTCGAAATTTTCCACCACTTCCAATCTTTCCTCATTAACACATATTTCCTTCTCCATGGCAGTTTTGTTTGTATGCATTATCTTTGTTTTTGCTATGTTAAGAAATAAGTTATGATTTTCACTATTTCTTTGGAGTGAGGTTAATAAGTTTTCTAAACCATTTTGTGATGTTGATAGTAATACTGCATCATCAGCATAACGAATTTCTGGTATTTCATGACCACCGATGTTTAGAGCATCATATTGTTCCTTGTTTATATCATCTCTTACATTTCTCATTATATTTTCGGCGTACAGGTTGAACAAATACGGTGACAGCACACATCCCTGACGGACTCCTTGCTTGATGCCAAACCAGTCTGATGTCTCTCCATCTATTCTGACTGCTGCTTGTTGGTCTTGATAGAGCATTTTAATGAGCTGCACTATATGCGATGGAAAGCCCATATTCCTCGTGATTTCCCAAAGCTTCTGATGTTGTACACAGTCAAATGCTTTTGAATAATCCACAAAACATAAGAACAGATTTACATTAAATTCTCTACACTTCTCTATTATTAAACGCATGTTGAAAATATGATCTCTTGTTCCTCTTCCCTGTCTAAATCCAGCCTGAGCTACATTAATCTCTTCTTCCATTTTCTTATTCAGTCTTCTCATTATAATTTTTAGTAGAATTTTACTTGCATGACTGATCAGGGCAATAGTTCGATAGTTTGTACATAATTTCAGGTCACCCTTTTTTGGTATTGGAATGAAGATAGTTCTCTTCCAGTCTTTTGGCCAAATACCATATTTCCATATGAGGTTATTAGGTTTTTTTTATACCAGTCTGTGATGTGATGTCTGTGATGTGGATAGCAATACTGTATCATCGGCAGATCCCATCTCTTGTGTTTCATAATCACCGATATTTGGTGCATCATATTGCTCTCTGGTTAATGATTCATGACAATTGCAGCCTAAGTGATGTGATTGTATATACAAATGGCTCTGTGTTGATGGGCAGACGAAGTGCTTGGGGGTTCATAGCGAAGGCGAATAGACGTCGCTTGGTGCAACAAAGCCTGGCATATGATATCACAACGCCTAATTTGAAAATGGAGGGGGAGGCAGTCACAGCTGCCTTCCGCTGGCTTGCGAATCAGCTGTACACACATTTCGTCATTGTAACTGACTCACAGAGCATGCTGAGAAAGGTTGAGATATGTATACTCCGTGCAGAGTGGCAAGCATCACTTCAGACGTCCCAAGTAGTCAGCATCCTTTAAATATTTTCTTCACTTCATGCCGGTGTGTTGGGAAATGAGCAGCGGGATAGATTGGCCGGTTCTGTACCACTTGATAATGAACTGATGTATGACAAGCTGGATGTTGTGAGGGCCCTTTTGGAGTGAGTGAATAGTGCCAAGGAACAGATAGATCATTACGGTCTGAGGAGAATGGCACTGCGAGGAGTTACAAAGGGATCTGGCCGACGCTAGACACTCGGGGGAAAGGCGAGACGGATATACAATCAGACAGTTACTGGTAGCATCGGGATTTTAACTCTTCGCTGCTGGAGATGGGGACGGAGCGCTTATGAGGGTGTCCCGAGTGATGCGATGTCGATTTTTAATTCAACATTCTCTGGTTATATCATCTCTGACATTTCTCATATTTTCGGTGTAAAGGTTAAACAAATAGGGTGACAGCTCGCAGCCCTGACGGACTCCTTGCTTGATGTCAAACTAGTCTAATGTGTCGCCACCTATTCTAACCGCTGCTGCTTGTTGATCTAGATAGAGTATTGTTATGAGGTGTACTACATGTGATGGAAAGCCCATTTTCATCATGATTTCTCAAAGTTCCCGATGTTGTACACAGTCAAATGCCTTTGAATAATCCACAAAACATGAGAATAAGTTTACATTAAATTCTCTGGGCTTCTCTATTATTAAATGCATGTTGAGGATTCGATCTCTTGTTTCTCTTCCTTGTCTAAATCCAGCTTGAACCACGTTAATCTCTTCTTCAATTTTCTTAGGAAGTCTTCCCATTATGATTTTTAGTAGAATTTTACTTGCATGACTGATCAGGGCAACAGTTCTATAGTTGGTGCATAATTTCAGGTTGCCCTTTTTTGTTTTTGCGATGACGATAGTTCTCTCCAGATATTTGGCCATATACCATATTTCCATACCTTTTCACATAATGCGTGATAGATTTGTTTACAGCATATGAAGAAAGATTATTGCGAAAAGATAGAAAAGTCACTAAAACGACCGCTGACGACGTCTGTAAACACAGCAAAAAATTCTGACGTAGTACACATGCAAAGTGTCATAATTGTTGGTCAGAAGGAAATTTTGTAAAGCTTTTCCCCGATAAAATGGCTCAAACTCCATCCGATGATGCTCTTTACGGCTCCGATGATAGTAAGTCTTATCTTCTTTAATCTTGGTATCAAAATTTTTTTTGGAAAAGCTTGCATATAAGACTCTAAAAGTTGGACGTGCCATCCATTAATCATCAAAGCAAATCGTTTTTATGTTTATTTTGGAACAGACTGACTGAACTCTCGATTGGACTGTGGTAGTACCGTAGTCTGTTGCATACAGTACAGAGATGTGAACTGACAGATTCAATGACTAGTTAAAGACTTAAAGATGACTAGTTATAAATGTAGGCACTAATGAATATGATGTATATAATATAGTATTTATTACAAAAATACAGGTAACAAAGTAAAATGTGAAATAAAAGCAGATCTGGTGCATCCGTGTACCAAGGACAGGAGCGAAGAACGGTCCTGTTCCCCCCCCCCCCCCAATAAGGGCCACTTGGATACTTTTATTTATAAAATTATTCATAAGTCGCCCATAATTCAGAATGTCGAAAAGAGCTTGCTGTATTTGAATAAATGGCTCTACTGGCAAATTTGGCCGGTAAGCTGGAACTGCTTCGGCCGGCTTAGCGGGGCTTAGTGGGAGTAATGTCCCTTCGCGTCCCTTCACCAAACTCAAAACAAGTCGCGGAAAAAGTCACGAATCAAATGACATACTTACCTATCATCATCCGGGTGCGTGTAGGGCTGCGTAGGGTTGCGTCTAGGGTTACCTATCATCATACGGTTGCGTCTAGGGCTGCGTAGGGTGTCTATCATCATCATACGGTTGTGTGTAGGGGTGCGTAGGGTGTCTATCATCATCATCATATGGTTGCGTGTAGGGTTGCGTAGGGTTTGGGTTAGCGGTAGGGTTAGGGGTGTGGGTTAGGGGTAGGGTTAGGGGTAGGGGTAGGGTTAGGGTTTGATGATGTAAAAATATTCACGTAGGAGGTGGAAATACTGGCCGACAATCTGATGCTTGTGGGAGTGGCGCCACTGGAAGTGTGCCAAATATGACGGCAATAGCGGGCGGCGGCTGGTGCCCCAATCGGTGGCGGCGAATTGTCCGTGTCAGTAGCATCCACCGTCCGTCGACTGTTTGCGCGTGCATGCGACTGTGCGCGATTGTAGGGAACTACGGCGTCACAATTGTCACATCTAACGCTACACCTAAACCCTAACCCTAAACCCTACACCCTAACCCCTAACCCTAAACCCTAAACCCTAAACCCTAACCCTAACCCCTAAACGCTAACCCTAACCCCTAACCCTACCCCTCATCTATCTTACGCAAACAACCAACCCTACACGCAATAAGCAGCCCTACACGCAACCATAGGACGATGATAGACACCCTACGCAACCCTACACGCACCCGGATGATGATAGGTAAGTATGCCGTTTGATTCGTGACTTTTTCCGCGACTTGTTTTGAGTTTGGCCAAGGGACATAACTCCCACTAAGCCCCGCTACGCCGGCCGAAGCAGTCCAGCTTACCGGCCAAATTTGCCAGTAGAGCCGAATAAATATTTCATACTAGATATCTTTCGCTAGACCAAATGATTTAACGTATCTTATTCTTATTGACGAACATTAAATCTAATGAATTTTTAAAAAAAGCTGAAATAAATCAGAGAAATGTCTGGTCAGTCATCTATATGAACATCTGTCGGAGAAAAACAAAAGAAGAGGGTGGTATAGTGGGCACATCATGAAGTGAAAAGGAATAACCAGACACTGCAGTGGGAAACACAAGGATTGAGGAAATGAGTACGTCCAAGAGAAATCCTGAGATGGTTTTGTCGTCTCACTGATACCAGGCTGTAACCCAGTGTTGTAGTTTTCTGTATTTGTCCTACACTTCTCGGTTGGCTTAAGATTTTTGAAAGTCTGGTTCCATCAAGACCTAAACCCACAACCTTCAGATCCGCAAGTGTGTAGCCGCTACACCACAATTGCTACCATCCTTACTGAGTGAAAAATATTTAGAAAAGCAGGTTATGCATACATTCAGCATGTTAGCAGTAATACTGTTACTTTAAAAAAAAAATGTCTTTTACTTTTGTTTTGCACTTGACATTACATGCATACATATTTATACAATGTCTGGTCCTTTTCTTTTAGTTCACCCTATCTTGGGGGATTTTGAGATTTCATGGGGATTTTCTGGGAAAGTCAAATAGTATAGGTGTGTTAGGGTGTGCCGTGAACACCAACTAACAATAACCCCCCCCCCCCCCCCCCCCCTTTTTTTTAAATGTTGGACTTTTCCGGGAACTCCGCATGAAATCTCAGAGTCCCCAAGATGGTGGGGGGGGGGGGGGGGTGAATGAAATGAGAAGTACCCAATATCTTAGTGAGGATGTGTGCATAAATAATTTCTACTCAAATTTAGTACCATCAGAAGTGGGTGACACAATCGATGTAGACATTCCGTGTGATGAAACTCCGGAGGAACATGAAAGACGGATGGTTGCCACAAAAGAGGAACTGGACAAGGTCGGTTAAACAGTATAACTCTCTCTCTCCCTCCCCCCTCCCTTCTCTCTCTCTCTCTCTCTCTCTCTCTCTCTCTCTCTCTCTCTCTCTCTGGTGTGGGTGGGTGTGTGGTTTTTTTCTTTTGTCCCACTATGTGCTTAAGCTAATGCACATGAAAAGCTTGTTTTTGTTACTGCATCCACACCATAGTATTAGGTGCCTGTGTGGCTATGGATGAATTGAGGGTGTTGGGGTTAGTAACATGAACCACCTCTGAGGTAAACTGCTTGATTCCTTTTGTACTTACATTAAAAGCATGTGTGTAGACTCTGACGGGTTTGAGATTTGTTGGGTTATAAATGGATACATTGTCATGGAGTTATCAGTGAGCTATTACCCTTTAAGGCAGTAAATAGCTAAATAATATGTGCCAGGAAGGTTATTCTGTTCCCCTCTGGTCTGAGCATTATAGGCCTCATACTGTAAACTAGAGGTTAGGCTTTTGAGCATTTAGGGTCAAACACATATCAGTCATGCTTTCTGAACCCTCGGCCATTTCTTGTTTTATTCTTTCCTTATTCCAATTTTCTACTGGCTTGTGAACCAGCTGCACATATGTGCCATAGTTGTATCAAACTCACAAAGCATGCTGGAAAAGGTGGAGGCAGATATGTTCCTTGCTGAGTGTCAAGCATTGTTTCCTAGGTCTCGAGTAGTTACAGTTCTTTTGCATCTGTTCTCTGGGGCCTACAGGTTTTGGGATAATAAACATGCAGAGGACTTGCTGGGTTTACACCACTGGAGGAAAAAGGGGTGAGGTAGGAGGGGAAAGGTGAATTGATGCACTGCATGCTTGATCAGAGTCAAGGACCTTTGGAAGAACCTCATAACTGTCTAGAGCGAATGGTACAGCAAGCATTGGTGAGGAGATCTGTCTGACACTCAGTGCTCAGAGAAAGGTTAAAGTCGAGAATATCGACTTCATTGCTCTGGGGTTTTTCTCCTCATGTATGGCTCAGTCTTTCTCTGCAGAGCTAGCCGCCTGCCGAGAGCGCTGCACAGCGCACAAACTCCTTAGCTCCGACTACGATTCCCCACGGATCTCCGTAAAAATTGCTCTGGTGAACTGAAGGATGCAGCATTGAAATGAACCCACCAGGGCATGAGGCAGAAGGCTTGACCACTTCGTGACAGAGAAGAGAAAAGGCACGGTGGATGTAAAATCAAACTGATGCTGATATTGCTGACTATGAGGATTGTCCAGATTGCTGTGACATGACTTCTTTACACATCTCAGTCCAGACTGCTGTGACGTGACTTCTTTACACATCTCAGTCCAGACTGCTGTGACGTGACTTCTTGACACATCTCAGTCCAGATTGCTGTGACGTGACTTCTTTACACATCTCAGTCCAGACTGCTGTGACGTGACTTCTTTACACATCTCAGTCCAGACTGCTGTGACGTGACTTCTTTACACATCTCAGTCCAGACTGCTGTGACGTGACTTCTTGACACATCTCAGTCCAGATTGCTGTGACGTGACTTCTTGACACATCTCAGTCCAGACTGCTGTGACGTGACTTCTTTACACATCTCAGTCCAGACTGCTGTGTCATGACTTCTTTACACATCTCAGTCCAGACTGCTGTGACGTGACTTCTTTACACATCTCAGTCCAGACTGCTGTGACGTGACTTCTTTACACATCTCAGCTGAGCTAAAGTTGTTCCATTCTTTATTCTTCATTTCTGTCATAAACCTCCTGTCTCATGTTACCCCTGTGGTATATATTTCAGTGTATGTATTTGCTTCATATTAATGCCACTGGCTTCAGTGCTGTATTTGAGGAGGGTGTGTTTGTTTTAGACTACCATACTTCTGTCTTATTATTCAAGCTGATGTCCCATGTTCACATTCTCTGTCTTATTATTCAAGCTGATGTTCCATGTTCACATTCTCTGTCTTATTATTCAAGCTGATGTCCCATGTTCACATTCTCTGTCTTATTATTCAAGCTGATGTCCCATGTTCACATTCTCTGTCTTATTATTGAAGCTGATGTTCCATATTCACATTCTGTAACTTCTGTATCTAATTTTTTTAAATAGTATTTTTTCTCTGTGTGGGTTCTGAGGCCCTGTTATAGGGAAAACAAGAATAGACCCACTGTCTACCCAAAAGCATGTCATAAGAGTCAACTAATTGGGAGCTTCATTCGAAATCGGAGTGCATCTGCCTTCGAGGCAAGGAACCAGCAGTCTGCATACAAATGAGTCAGATCTGTGAAATGGATGCGCACGCAACACTCAGGTTCTGGAACAGGACTGCAGTTCAGAAGTGGATGAACAACCAGAAATTTCGGCCAGAGTTTACAGCTGGTGAACGTGAAGAAGAAGAAGACTCGCATTTAACACTTTTATGTCCTCTGTTATTGTCTCTTTCTCCCTCCCTTCTCTTTTATTTTCTGTTGAACAGACCCACTGCCCCCCCCCCCCCCCCCCCAACAAGCGTGTCCTACAAGGCAACTATTAGGGGTATATCCTTTAAAGTTGGAGTGTATTTGCCTGACAGGTAGGTCAGATCTGCTATACAGAGTGCACATAAAACTAAAATTCTGGAACAAGACAAAAAGTCCAGAAGTGAATAAACAGCCAGAACTTTTTGCTAGAGTTTACAGCTGGTGAGCGCCAAGAAGAAAATATCCTTGGTAAGATAATTTGTTGTTGTTTTTTTTCTCTTTGGTGTGCAGAATGCAAAAATCTAACCTGCACAGTGCATGACGATTGCTCTAGCCATGAGACACTATATCATTAGGCTTAAAGTACCCCTTCCTACCCTCCCCCCTCACATACACACACACACACGCTTTTTGCTTACATCGCAAAGTTGATAAATACAGGCAGTAATCACAGCTTTTTATGGGGGGTCATTTTGTTTCATCCTAGGTTGAGTCCGAGATAAATATGCTTCGACAAGTCCTGTTCAGCAAAATAGGACGTGCAGCCGAACTGAAGCGGCAGTTGGGTATCACACCATTCCAGGAATTTAAGCAGGACCTGCAGCAGGGCCTTCAGCAGTTCAAGAGCTCTGACCCGTGAGTCATTTGTTTCATTGTTTTGTTACAGCCTCTTTTTAGATCTATTTTTGTATTAGTCTTTCATCTGCTTCATGGTATCCAGCCTACATAATCTCTTCTCGCTTATTTTAAGGTTTTTTTGTGTGTGTGTGTGGTACATTTCTCTAACAATTATATTTGCTTGCTTCTATTTTAAAACTGCACAAATAGTAAAGCTAAGATCTTACTGTATTTTTTAAATATTTTTTGTTTGTTAGTGTTGGTTTCTATTGGTGGCTTTAAATATTGTGAACAGAAACCATATGCTGCACAATGTATTGCCTGTCACCTTTTACTGTGTTTTGTCAGGAGTAATACTGTTTAAAAACAGACGAGGGGAGTAATACTGTTTAAAAACAGACAGCCTCGCCTACACTCTCACTACATCCAATATGAGAATGGAGGTGGAGGCAGTAACGACAGCTTTCAGATGGCACAGCCCAGCGTGTTGTAATTGTAACGAACTCATAGAGCATGTTTTGGAAAATTAAAAGTGGTATCCTGTGCACACACAGTGGCTTGCATCACTTGATGAGACTCAGATCTGGAGCTTGTCTTGAATTTTTTGTCCAGGATATTCAGGTGTGCTTGGTAATGAGCAGCTGATAGATTAGCTGCTGCTGCTCCTCTGGGTGGTGAGCTATTTTATGGTAAAGCAGATATAGTGAAGGCTCTTTGGGATCAAATGGACAATGCAATAGAACAGATAGAGAATCCGTACACTGAAAAACTAATTTAATGGGGATTAGGGGGGGGGGGGGGGGTAAGTAGAGGTTCTGGAAAAATCTTCAACACCGAGGGGGAAACAGACAGAACAAACTTTATTATTTCCAAAGGTTTAGGAACTGGGCACACAGGCCCATCTTACATTCTGCTCTTCTGGCCTTACGCCATGCATACATTATTCATGCACACTCGTTTGAGCAGATAATAATAATAATAGTATTAATAGGCATCATCAACATCTTTGTAACAATGTGCTCTAAGTATGCCTACATTGTAACAATGTGCTCTAAGTATGCCCACATTGTAACAATGTGCTCTAAGTATGCCCACATTGTAACAATGTACTCTAAGTATGCCTACATTGTAACAATGTACTCTAAGTATGCCTACATTGTAACAATGTACTCTAAGTATGCCTACATTGTAACAATGTACTCTAAGTATGCCTACATTGTAACAATGTACTCTAAGTATGCCTACATTGTAACAATGTACTCTAAGTATGCCTACATTGTAACAATGTACTCTAAGTATGCCTACATTGTAACAATGTACTCTAAGTATGCCCACATTGTAACAATGTGCTCTAAGTATGCCCACATTGTAACAATGTGCTCTAAGTATGCCTACATTTTAAAACAATCATAATACTAGATAAATAGATCTTGGTTGAAATCAACAATATTCTTAGGAAACTATTATCTTCTAAGGGGCCATGTAGTCTGAAGTGAGATAATATTCAAAAAGCTTCCAATTTTATTTATAGGGGTTGTTGATATTTTTTGATTGGTTGTGGAAGTTGGTTCCACAGATGAGCTGCAGAGTACGCCAAGCTTGTTTTGTACAGGTCTATTCTAGGTTTAGGGATGTGTAACATGTTTAGGTGTTTGCTATGTCATCCATTATATTTAAAGAATGGTCAGAGGTCATCTGGAGAGTTATTTTTAAATAAGATTTTGTGAATAACTTTGGCCTTATTGAAAAGAAGTCGTTTATGAAAGGGTAGTAACTTAAGATCTCTACTTATACTGGAACTTGATCAGGTTGCAGTACTGATAGCTTTAGTGGGAATGTCCTGAGTACACGGATGTCGGTTCTTGATTCATTCATTCAATCATTCATTGTCAGGTGCATTGCTGCAGAGTGATGTCAGCTTAATGAAGCACAAAACATGACTGCTTTCAGATGAAATTTTGAAAAACTAATATTTTCCATTGTTACACTTTACATGCCACTGAAATTTATGGAAGCTGTGGCAATTAAGGCGATTTATTTCATGCTGTTTTAATATAGATGATCACATGGAAAATCTTGGGAGTCGCCGCGCGTAGTGGCTAGACTCTTGCGTGCGGACCGGAAGGTCATGGGTTCGCTCCCTGGCGGAGCGGAACTTTTTAAAAAAAATGACCCTAACTCCTAGGTTTACCCAGCCTTAAGTGGGTACCGGGTGCAGTCCTGGGAAGTAAAGGCGGCCGGTGTGATGCTGACCACATCACCCATCTTGTACCGATTGGTCTTTAAAAATATAGGTGTAGCCCTATATGCCTAAAGGCGTGGAAAAGGGACCTTTACTTACTTTACTTACATAGAAAATCTTAAACTTCCTTGGTAATTGTGTATCTAATTATGAACTTCCATTGATGAAACTCTTTAGTAGTACACTTGACGAGATACAGTGAAAAATGTCAGGCAATAAATTGTGCAAAGTATTGTATTTTTTCCCGAGTTTTTTCAATTGTAATTTTGCTGTTTTAGTGTATTCTTCTTCCTCTTCATCGGTCATCCGAGTGACATGATTGTGTTGTGCCTGTTTTTCATCATAGCAGCAAACATTTGTGCCTTTTGGCCAACACATCCAACTTACACCAGGCATTTGTTCACTGGTTTAGTCTTTCTGGAGATTCACTAACATATAGCAGAACAGTTTAATGATTACTGTGTTATCTTTTGCAATGTTAATATTACTATGTTCATGTCAGCAGCACGGCCATTCAGCTGAAGCCGGTCATGTTTAAATTGTCCAAGTGACATAACTGTTGTGCCTGTTTGGAGCATAGCAGCAAACATTTGTGCCTTTTGGCCAACACATCCGACTTACACCAGGCATATGTTCACTGGTTTAGCCTTTATCGAGATTCACTAACATACAGCAGAACAGTTTAATGTGACTAGGACTTTGAAATATTCTATTTATTGCACTTATTTAAAGTGACTTATAAGATCTTTTTATCTTCTGAAATGGAATTTTGTTTGCATGACCTTGTCAGCTCTTAATCTCTCACATACTTTTTACATATGATCTTATGTATTCATTGACAGAGAAAGAGAATTCTTAAAAGCTATTTAAATCCTTTTCTGATATACAGAAGTAAATCATGGACAGATCTGGTTGTTCATCCACTTATGGACTTTGGTCTTATTCCAGAACCTGATTTTTGCTTTAAAGATCTGACTTATTTGTTAGTAGACTGCTAAGTTCCTTGCCTCTCAGATGGGAAGTTCTGGTTGTTTATCCACTTCTGAACTTTATTCTTGAGTTTTGTGGCAACATCCATTTTAGAAATTTGACTTATTTGAATGGTGACTGTTGGTTTCTTGTCTCTCATGTGCATGGGTTCCAACTTTGAAGAAAACCCCTAATTAGTCAACGCTTAGGACATGCTTGTTGGGGAGATAGTGGATCTATTCTCTCCCTCCCCACCTCTCAAGAGTGGGACTCTGGAACCCACAAATTAAGATGCCTGACAACATTCTATGCACCGTCACTGTTCTGACTGTGTATTGCTGTGACGTGATGACTTATTCCCTGATCTCATATATTTATGTGACGTGACGGTTTATCCCATGATCTTCCCAGATACCAAAAGACCAATGAAACATTGCACCAGTTGAATGAAAAGATTTCTCAGACACAGGCGTGAGTTAAGCATGATCTGCTGTTTGTTGACATAAATGTCACTTGTGTCTGTGGGTGCATGTGTGCTTTCTCCCTACCTGTCCTCAGCAGTGTTTAGTTATTAGTGGAATTGTTTGTTTGTGTGTGGGAGATTAGGTTTGTAGCTTAGTTCAGTTGTGGGATTGTTTTTGTGTGTGATTAGGTTTGTAGCTTAGTTCAGTTGTGGGATTGTTTGTGTCTGGTAGATTAGGTTTGTAGCTTAGTTCAGTTGTTGGATTGTTTGTTTGTGTGTGGGAGATTAGGTTTGTAGCTTAGTTCAGTTGTGGGATTGTTTTTGTGTGTGGGAGATTAGGTTTGTAGCTTAGTTCAGTTGTGGGATTGTTTGTTTGTGTCTGGTAGATTAGGTTTGTAACTTAGTTCAGTTGTGGGATTTTTTTGTATGGGAGATTAGGTTTGTAGCTTAGTTCAGTTGTGGGATTGTTTTTGTATGGGAGATTAGGTTTGTAGCTTAGTTCAGTTGTGGGATTGTTTGTTTGTGTCTGATAGATTAGGTTTGTAGCTTAGTTCAGTTGTGGGATTGTTTTTGGGTGGGAGATTAGGTTTTTAGCTTAGTTCAGTTGTGGGATTGTTTTTGTATGGAAGATTAGGTTTGTAGCTTAGTTCAGTTGTGGGATTGTTTTTGTGTGGGAGATTAGGTTTGTAGCTTAGTTCAGTTGTGGGATTGTTTTTTGTGGGAGATTAGGTTTGTAGCATAGTTCAGTTGTGGGATTGTTTGTTTGTGTCTGATAGATTAGGTTTGTAGCTTAGTTCAGTTGTGGGATTGTTTTTGGGTGGAAGATTAGGTTTTTAGCTTAGTTCAGTTGTGGGATTGTTTTTGTGTGGAAAATTAGGTTTGTAGCTTAGTTCAGTTGTGGGATTGTTTTTGTATGGGAGATTAGGTTTGTAGCTTAGTTCAGTTGAGGGAATGTTTGTTTGTTTGTGGGAAATTAGGTTTTTAGCTTAGTTCATTTGTGGGATTGTTTTTGTGAGGGAGATTAGGTTTGTAGCTTAGTTCAGTAATATGATTGTTTGTGAGAGGGAGATTAGGTTTGTAGCTTAGTTCAGTAATATGATTTTTTGTGAGTGGGATATTAGGTTTGTAGCTTAGTTCAGTAATATGATTGTTTGTGAGAGGGAGATTAGGTTTGTAGCTTAGTTCAGTAATATGATTTTTTGTGAGTGGGGGATTATGTTTGTAGCTTAGTTCAAGAGTATGATTGTTTGTGAGTGGGAGATTAGGTTTGTAGCTTAGTTCAATAGCATGATTGTTTGTGAGTGGGAGATTAGGTTTGTAGCTTAGTTACAATTGGTGGACAGAGAAATTAGCTTGAGATGTGCCAAAGCTAATCAAGTAATGGGGTAACTATCTTCACTGTTGACACACAAGCAGATACCCCAAAGTACTAAAGTGAATCTTATCAGAACTATTTTTTAGCTAACACTTTGCTATCATTGCCAAACGTGGACTCTTACATCCTTTAAAGAACGTAAAGTGGTAACAACAGAAATAAAATACCTTAGAAGAGCCGCAGGAATTTCAAGGAAAGACAGAGTACGAAATCAGACGAATGCTAGGAATAAAGCCAGTCCTACAGGTTATCAAAGAACAACAAATGAAGTGGTTTGGACACCTAATAAGAATGTAAATTAAGTTTGTAAGTTCAAGTACAGCTGTACTGTTTAAAAAAAAAAAAGACAGAAACACAATTATTCGGTGTCACGTTTTTAATTAGTTGATACAAAAGCCTGTACACCTAAGAAATATTGAGACCCAGCTACAAAACAACTGTCAGTTTATTAGTTGAAGCCTAAGGTATTTTTGTGTGCAATTTGAACAGTTTCACTTACAAAAGTCTTGAATGCCAAAATTGTGTTGTTGTTTTTTTTAAATTTAAATAGTGATCCATAGTTCCATAGTGGGGTTGTTTTTAGGTTGAAAATTCAGTTTATGCCACAATTAAATAGTGGGTTTGCTGTTCTCTCTAGTCACATTGAGTTCCATTATGAGGTGTTGTGTGTGTGTGTTTATATGACATGACGGTTAATCCCCTGATCTGTCCCAGATACCAAAAGACCAATGAAACTTTGCACCAGTTGAATGAAAAGATTTCTCAGACGCAGGCGTGAGTTGAGCATGATCTGCTGTTTGTTGACATAAATGTCACTTGTGTAAATATGTGGGCTTTCCTCCCTGCCTGTGTCTCCTAAAGAGAATTTCTATTGTTTAGTCATTAATCAGGCTGTTTATGTGTCGGAGATAAGGGTTGTAGTTTAGTCATTAATTGTTTCAGTATGGCAGATAGTATCTGTAATTTAGTAATTAATGAGGTTGTTAGTGTGTGGCAGATAGGATCTGTAATTTAGTAATTAATGAGGTTGTTTGTGTGTGGCAGATAGAATCTATAGTTTGATAATTAATGAGGTTGTTTGTGTGTGGCAGATAGGATCTGTAATTTAGTAATTAATGAGGTTGTTTGTGTGTGGCAGATAGTATCTATAGTTTGATAATTAATGAGGTTGTTTGTGTGTGGCAGATAGGATCTGTAATTTAGTAATTAATGAGGTTGTTTGTGTGTGGCAGATAGGATCTATAGTTTGATAATTAATGAGGTTGTTTGTGTGTGGCAAATAGGATCTGTAATTTAGTAACTAATTAGGTTGTGTGTGGCAGATTAGAGCTGTAGCTTCTCCTTCTTCTTAAAGTCCATGCCGTGTGGCGTCGGTAGTCATGTCTGTCCACATCCTTCTGTCTTGTGTTCTTTGAATCAACTCTGACACAGATCCTCCATGCCATGATGTCAAATGAAGGAGCACACTTTTTTTTTCAAAGGGTTATACATTGGGCAAACTGTCCAGCATCTTTTTTCTTGGTCTTCCTCTGCCTCTCCTCCCCTCCAGCTTTCCTACTGTCATAATGTACTCCAGTTTTCTCATTCTTATCACATGACCAACGTAGGTTGTCGCGTTCTGATGTGGGTAATCAGTTCTCTTTGTGAGTCAGTTGTTTTTTTCAAGACGTCCTCATTACTCTTTTTATCTGTTTTTAGCCTAGTCATTGTTTTATTAATTATGTGTGGGAGTTTCAGCTTGTTGTTTGTCTTAGTGGGATTATGTGTGGGAGGTTAAGTGTACAACTTAGTTCGGTAGTGGGATTATTTGTGTTTGGGGAAACTAGCTATAAAGATTAGTTCTTTAGTGGGGAGACTGGAATTGCAGCTGATCATATGCAGAATGAGATTTGTAATGTACTTTATGGTTAAAACTGTGTGGGAAATTAGTTTTATAGCTTAGTTATTGATGGTATTTTTTAGTGTGGGAGTTTCACATTTATAGTTATTTAGAGTGAGAGTTACACATTTTCAGTTAACTAAAATAAGTTAGAAATTTATGGTTAATTAGAGTGACAGCTGCTCACTTATAGTTAATTAGAGTGACAGCTACTCACTTATAGTTAATTTAAAGTGACAGCTGCTCACTTATAGTTAATTTAAAGTGACAGCTGCTCACTTATAGTTAATTTAAAGTGACAGCTGCTCACTTATAGTTAATTTAAAGTGACAGCTGCTCACTTATAGTTAATTTAAAGTGACAGCTGCTCACTTATAGTTAATTACAGTGACAGCTGCTCACTTATAGTTAATTAGAGTAAAAGCTACTCACTTACAGTTAATTAGAGTGACATTTGCTCACTTATAGTTAATTAGAGTGACATTTGCTCACTTATAGTTAATTAGAGTGACAGCTACTCACTTACAGTTAATTAGAGTGAAAGCTACTCACTTACAGTTAATTAGAGTGACAGCCACTCACTTATAGTTAATTAGAGTGAAAGCTACTCACTTACAGTTAATTTAAAGTGACAGCTACTCACTTACAGTTAATTAGAGTGACATCTTCTCACTTATAGTTGATTAGAGTGACAGCTGCTCACTTATAGTTGATTAGAGTGACAGCTGCTCACTTATAGTTGATTAGAGTGACATCTACTCACTTATAGTTAATTTAAGTGACAGCTACACACTTATAGTTGATTAGAGTAATATCTACTCACTTATAGTTAATTAGAGTGACAGCTGCTCACTTATAGTTAATTAGAGTGAAAGCTACTCACTTATAGTTAATTAGAGTGAAAGCTGCTCACTTAAAGTTGATTAGAGTGACAGCTGCTCACTTATAGTTGATTAGAGTGACAGCTGCTCATTTATGGTTGATTAGAGTGACAGCTGCTCACTTTTAGTTGATTAAAGTGACAGCTGCTCATTTATAGTTGATTAGAGTGACAGCTGCTCATTTATAGTTGATTAGAGTGACAACTGCTCACTTATAGTTGATTAGAGTGACAGCTGCTAGCTTATAGTTGATTAGAGTGACAGCTGCTCACTTTTAGTTGATTAAAGTGACAGCTGCTCGCTTATAGTTGATTAGAGTGATAGCTGCTCACGTATAGTTGATTAGAGTGACGGCTGCTCACTTATAGTTAATTAGAGTGACAGCTACTCACTTATAGTTAATTACAGTGACAGCTACTCACTTATAGTTAATTTAAAGTGACAGCTACTCACTTATAGTTAATTAGAGTGACAGCTACTCACTTATAGTTAATTAGAGTGACAACAACTGACTTATAGACATAAAACATCCTGAGTTGCTAACAGCATGACCTGCTGCCTAACAACTGTCACTGATATTTTGTGTTTTAACCCTGTTTCCCCCCCCCCCCCCCTTTCTTTTCCCAAATGTACTTACTTCCAAGTGCTAATTTTCAGTGCATGTACTCTTCCAGTACTCATTTTCTGTGAATGTACTGTCTTACTGCTCATTTTCAGTGCATATACTCTACAAGTACTAACTGTCAGTGCATGTACTGTCTCACTACTTATTGTCAATGCTTGTACTATCTCATTACTTATTGTTAGTGCATATACTGTCTCAGTACTTATTGTCAGTGCATGTACTGTCTCAGTACTCATTTGCATTTAATGTACTGTCTCAGTACTAATCGTCAATGCATGCCATGTCTCAGTACTCATTGTCAGTGCATGTACTGTCTCATTACTCATTGTCAGTGCATGTACTGTCTCAGTACTCATTGTCAGTGCATGTACTGTCTCAGTACTCATTGTCAGTGCATGTACTGTCTCAGTACTTATTGTCAGTGCATGTACTGTCTCAGTACTCATTTGCATTTGATGTACTATCTCAGTACTAATCGTCAATGCATGTCATGTCTCAGTACTCATTGTCAGTGCATGTACTGTCTCAGTACTCATTGTCAGTGCATGTACTGTCTCAGTACTTATTGTCAGTGCATGTACTGTCTCAGTACTCATTTGCATTTGATGTACTGTCTCAGTACTAATCGTCAATGCATGCCATGTCTCAGTACTCATTGTCAGTGCATTGTCAGTGCATGTACTGTCTCAGTACTCATTGTCAGTGCATGTACTGTCTAAGTATCCTCTTGTTAAAAGAGAAGTAATGTACTTCCTTCCTTTTGCTAGCCTATGGGACACACTTGGAATCACAGATCAGGTCACTGTTCTTGTCTTACTCTTGCTCTCTTGTCATTAATCTTGCCAGTTATTGTCAGATTCTGTGGTCCACTCTTTCTCATAAAAAAAGTTTTAAAAAAAGTTTAAGTCGGGAGATACGAACCAGCGTCGTTGCACATGGTTATAAACCATAAGTTCTCTGCCACCAGTACGGACAGCTGATAAGAAACTGTCCGCCTGTGTCGCCGTTCGCACGTAACTCTGCAGCTACAGCGACGTTCCTCCATTTACCCCCAGAGTGTCAACTCTGGTACCCATTTCCTAGAGGCTGGGTGAACACCGAGATCCACCCGGTTTCGAACACCGACCGTGGTTGCAGCGAATCGCAGCTGGATTTGAAAGTGAGCCTCGTATCGACTGCTCAGCTCTTTCTCAAAACATGTGTGAATGTATGCATACTAGGTATACAATCCAGCAGGGCTACTCAACTGACAACCTACTGGTCAAATTTGGCCCCCGGAGGCCTAGCTAGTGGCCCGCGGGTCATTGCCAGCTGTATTTTATTATTGATCCTTCATTCCGTGCTGGGCTTTGGGCCTCTGGCCCGTGATGTTTCCCTGGGTAAACTTAGTTGAAAAGCCTTGCAATACAGCATAGTGCCTTGGTACCTTGTAAAGAAGAAGATGGATAAAGAGAGAAGGTAGAAAAGGTTGGTCTGGGTCTCACTGCTACATTCTTAGATTCATTCGAGTTGAGTTGAGTCTTCTTCTTCGCATTCACCAGCTGTAAACTCTGGTGGAAAGTACTGGCTTTTTGTCCACTTCTGGACTTGTTCCAGGACCAGCTATAAACACTGGGGGGGGGGGGGGGAGAACTGGTTGTTTGTCCACTTCCAGTCTTTGGTATTTTTCCAGGACCTGAGTTTTGCATGCATATTCATTTTACAGATCTGGGATATTTGAATGCAGACTGTTGGTTCCTCTCAATCAGATGCATACTGACTTATATTGTCTGAATTATGACGAGCTTGTTAAAAGGACAATGGGTCAGCTACAGTGTGGCAATACCACATAGAGGTAGAGCTGTGGTAAAGTAAAGTAAAGATCCCTTTACACGCCTTAGGAGCATCGGGCATATGGAAAGAGCACCCATATTTTTACAGACCAATCGGCACTAGGTGGGTAATGTGGTCAGCATTACGCCGGCCATCTTTACTTTCCCAGGACAGCCCATCCTGGTACCCATTTGAGGCTGGGTCGACCGGCGACGTCCCATACCACGATAAAAATCCACGCAGCCCGCAATGAGTTTTCGATCGCGGTACGTTGGATTACGAGTCAGACTCACAACGCCTTAGCCACGGACGCCAGAGCTGTGGTAGTAATTATTAAATAATTAATAGTACAACTGGTAGTAGTGGTGACATTTTATGCGTAAATTAACTGTTATTGTTTTAATATAATTAGGTGGTGGTAAAAGAAATATGTCGCTGTCTGTTTTTTGTTTTTTTTTGCAACTTGAAAGTGTCCTGAGATAGCCTGTTTTCGTGGAGGTCCAGTGGTCAAGAGAGTTTGAGAAGTCACAGGGAACTGTGATGCCTTAGCATGGCTTAGTGGTCCAGAATATTATGCCATAACATCATGATCAATGATAAAGTAAAGATCAGGGAATGTGAGAAGAAACTAGCTGCTGGAAAAGAGAATATGTGTCATGGCAGCTCAGATGACTTTGCACACACGTATCCTGACCTTATCACTTCTCCTCTCCAAATCTGATGTCTTGGTTGAATTGGTTAAGTGCTCCTTCTTCTTTGTGAGTTGAAAGGTAGTAGCAACAGCAGAAGGAAATGAATATTTCACGCATGAATGGTTTTCGAGTCCAGCGTTCATAGATGCCTAATGCTTAATATATATATTTGCATGAAGCCATCACAATGCATGTTTTTTCCGTATCCTGTTTCTTTATTATGCAACTTGCTTTTCTTTCCCTGCTTTATAAAACATCCTCATTAGCCTTATTTCTCACCCCCAGTTGCATGGAAAGAAAAATGTAGATTCAAGTTGTTTTTGTGTGTGGGTCATTTTAGTGATTTTTAAACCAACACCCACACACAGTCCAGGCATATATTACTTCAACTTCCCCAGTCTCCAAAAGATATTAACTTCTCCAGTCCCAGATATATATTACTTCAATTTCTCTAGTCACAGGCATATATTACTTCATCTTCTCCAGTCCCCAGAAGATATTAACTTCTCCAGTCCCAGATATATATTACTTCAGTTTCTCTAGTCCCAGGTATATATTACTTCAACTTCTCCAGTCCCCAGAAGATATTAACTTCTCCAGTCCCCAGAAGATATTAACTTCTCCAGTCCCAGATATATATTACTTCAACTTCTCTAGTCCCAGATATGTACTCCTTCGGCTTCTGTAGTACAATATAGGTACTAATTTACCTTCTCCAGCTCTAGTTAAATATTACTCTGACCACTTTAGTCGAAGATAAATATTACCTTTAAGTTCTCCAGTCCCTGACATATATTACTAAATGTTTTCATACCTGGACATATATTACTTTTACACAGTCTGCTGGAGTGTATTATCATTTCAAATTCAGTTTCCTAGGGCAAAAAAAAAAAAAACTTTGTTTACAAAAATGTTCGCCACAATATTGTCTACACCACCCCTCACACCACATACCCCAACCTCAACTAGCCATTTGTCTCGCACATGCCTGCTAGCACTAACCCATGAGTAAAGACACTTGTTGAATATTTCCCTGTGCATGTTATGTTTTGGTTTCTTTGCTTTGGCAGATTCTGTGATGTACCATATGCTTTTGTGAGAATGGTAATGGCTGCGATAGTTCAAGTTTAAGATTAAATACTAGGTCAAGAGGCTGCGAGCATTGCACTAGGCTTTATTCTTGACAGCTTGGTTAGTCTCCATAGAGCGGTAAACAACCTGCCTAGAACATTGTAAAAAGCACGAACTCCATAACTCCATTGGTGATCTCCAGAGATAAGCATAAAAATTACATTTTGTCCTGAGTTTTGCTTGCAAGAAAGGAACCCATGGCCGTCAGAGTTTGAGGCAGACGCCTTGACCACTTCACCACAGAGACCCTTGATGTTGTGACAGAATGAAATAGTGGTGTGGCATGGCTTTATTGAAACTGTAAGCAATTCTCAGTCCTCAAGAAAACAAATAGGGGCTTTTGAGCTGAAATGCTGTAGAAAGATTCTCAGAATATCTTGGACAAAGAAGATGAGAAATACTGACATCTTAAAAGATCTGAACATCAAGGAAGATTGGCTAATATACTGCATCTTGTCTTGGAAGCTGAAAAATGTTGGTCCTATCAAGCGCCACGACGGATTGGAAAAAATAATAGCAGAAGGCATGGTACCTGGAAGGAAGGGCAGGGGCCAACCAACGGGAAGATGGGCACAGGATATAAGTGACTCCTTAAGTAGGAAAGTACATGAGGTGGGGGAGCTGGCAAGAGGCTGAGTTTCTTTCAGGCAGACCATGATGAGCATGCCGTTCTGATGATGATGAAGCAATCCTAGTCAGAGCCTCAATTGATGCCTGCCCACCAACTTCAGCTGTAATAGTCAGTGGATTTGATTAATATAGTGGTGTTCTTACCATAAAAGAAAATTAGTAACCACGGAAATGAGATGTCTGAGAAGGGCTGTAGGAGTGACCATAAGAGATAAGATCATGAATGAGATCATAAGAGGAAAAGTCTGCACAGAACCAATTCTGGATTACATACGAAGACAGCAAGTGAAATGGTTTGCCCACTTAGAGAGAATGCCTTGTGCAACCATACCATACAAAGCATACATGGAAAGAGAAGAAGGACGTAGAGCACGCGGTAGACCAAGAACAAGATGGAAGGATAACATCAGAGATACTCTACAACAGCACGATGTGCCTATGGTCGAGGCGGCCAGAAGAGCTAGAAACAACCTTATATCTCCCTCAACACCCACAGCGGTAAAAAAGGAAGTAAAGAAGAAGTGGTGTTCTTTACATTACCACTGAATGATTTTGTCACCAGGAACCTTTCAATCACACAATGGCAGTAATTATCAGGTAATGATGATGTATCCAGAAATAAAGCCATTGCTAAAATATTAAACACAACAATAAAGTAGCAGGTATTGTATATTATTCTAGTTACCCCAATGACTTCAAACAAACAACAGCACACTTGGACCCCTTGAAATAGTCGACTGTCCCGTCAGCTGTTGATTTTCCCTGGATTCCCCGTATTTGGGGTAGCTAAAAAATAAAGCACCACATATAGTACTCCACCTCTAGCCTTGAAGGAATAACCACAAAAATAAGCAAACATCAAAATGTATAAACACCCACAAAAACAAACACCAATAAAAACAAACACCCATCAAAATGAAGATCCAGCTGACAACATATGTACAGTATTCCGTTTTGGTAATATAATCCTCGTCTATTTCCAGTTACCAGAAGACGACAGCTGTTGTCAAGACCGCATCAGAAAAAACCACTAGTGCTATTAGCACCGTCAGCCACGCTGTGGTAAAGAAGATGGGAGACATTAGGTATGAGTCTGTTAGCATTGTAGTCTGTCTCTTCTCCTCAAAGTCTGTTCCATAAAATATTGGTAATCATATCTTTCCATGGGGGGGGGGGGGGGGATATTACATGAAAATTCACCCGCCTCTTTCGGGTTGCAACTGTCATATCTCTGTCCAGAAGTTATGAGAACAGTCTTTTTCTAAACCATCTACTAAAAATAGAACCCAATTACTTGAGAATTATGAAATGCAATCACTAACCTTTTCTGTCTCGTCTACTGTTTGTAATATCTAGTGCATATGATCTTCCATGCAATGTACAATCTCTGTATTGGCCTTCCTCTGCCTTTTCCCCCTCTTCATCTTTCCCATTTTCATGGTATACTTCAGTTTTCCCCTTCTCTCGACATGCCCAGTGTTGATTGCCTGCTTCTGATGTGGGTTATCTGTCCTCATAATGGCTGTAAATCCTGGACAATTATTAAAGAAGCTAAACATTTTCTTGAGGCCTTGGAGACCAGCTTTTACATCAGAATTCTTTGAATTCCTTGGACAGCCAAAAAGAGCAACCTTAATGTTTTGAAAGGGACAAGGAAACTGGAAAATGTTGTAACCACTAGAAAGATTTGTTAAAAATGAGACAGAGGAAAACAGTGTGAGATTATTCTTGACAGTTTTTTTTTTTTTTGGGGGGGGGGGGGGGGGTCATAGAGGGGTGTCAACACGTGAACTGATACATGCTGTTGAAGATTGCAGATTGTGAAGAGGCATGATCTCCCTTGCAAGTCTTATTAGATGAAGATACTTTTTATCACACTTGACATCATTGCTACTATTATTTCCACCACTACTACATACTCATGTTATTCTTTTATTATTACTATTATAATTATTATATTCACTCATTCACTAATTTTTTCTGTTCAGTACTTTTTCCTTTTCCTATATTTTATAGTTATTCACATGATGGACTCTCTAAATAGAGACTTGAGGCCAGTATGCTAGAATACTCTGCCCCTTGTTACTGCTGTCATGTTTTGTGTTGAGAAAGGCTCCGGCCAAATGTCCTTTTTTTTTCTTGTCTGTGTATGTTGTTCTCCCCCCCCCCCCCACCCCCCCCCCCCACCCCACTCTCCAGTGGCTCCAGTAATCTTACATATAACCACAGATCACTGATTTTTCTAATTGTCGATTGATAACAGAAATTCACAGACCTTCAAGTCCTTTGATGAGAAAATGCATTCCACATATGCAAATGTGAAGGTAAGAAACTCTTGTGATATTCCGTCATGCATACCTGTAATGTTGTAAATATAGATCTGTAATATTGCAGACATACATCTGTAAGGTTGCAAATATAGATCTGTAATATTGCAAATATAGATCTGTAATGTTGCAGATATACATCTGTAATGTTGCAAATATAGATCTGTAATATTGCATATATACATCTGTAATGTTGCAAATATAGATCTGTAATGTTGCAAATATAGATCTGTAATATTGCAGATATACATCTGTAATGTTGCAAATATAGATCTGTAATATTGCAGATATTCATCTGTAATGTTGCAAATATAGATCTGTAATATTGCAGATATACATCTGTAATGTTGCAAATATAGATCTGTAATGTTGCAAATGTGCATTTTTATTGTTGCAGATATGTATCTGTAATTATGTAATGCTGCAGATATACCGGATTATTCAAAATGATGGAGACACTTTCATTAATATACATGTCCTTGAATATACATTACATAATAATATAATATACATTCAAGAGAGAGGGGCGGTCTGAAGTTTACAACCTTACTAAAGAGGTTAAAGATGTTCAACATGGCCACTGTCTACTGCTTGACCAACATTTAATACTGAAATATGTGTCTGTAATGTTGCGGAAATGGGTTTCCAGTGTGACAACTGGGTGTGTGCTGTTGTAAATCTGGTTCAGTAATGTTGCCCCAAAAAATTATCTGTAATTTTGCGCATCTGGTTCTGTAATGTAAATCTGGTTCTGTAATGTAAATCTGGTTCTGTAATGTAAATCTGGTTCTGTAATGTAAATCTGGTTCTGTAATGTAAATCTGGTTCTGTAATGTAAATCTGGTTCTGTAATGTAAATCTGGTTCTGTAATGTAAATCTGGTTCTGTAATGTAAATCTGGTTCTGTAATGTAAATCTGGTTCTGTAATGTAAATCTGGTTCTGTAATGTAAATCTGGTTCTGTAATGTAAATCTGGTTCTGTAATGTAAATCTGGTTCTGTAATGTAAATCTGGGTCTGTAATGTAAATCTGGTTCTGTAAAGTTGCATTTCTGGGTCTGTGGTGTTGCACATCAGCTTCTGTAATGTTTTACATCGGGTTCCCTAATGTAAATTTGGTTTCGTGGTGTAAATTTGTTTCTATATTGTATCTCTTCTGGGTCTGTAATGTTGCACATCTGATTCTGAAATGTTTTACATCGAGTTCCTTAATGTAAATCTGGTTTCATGGTGTAAATCTGATTCTTCAGTGTTGCATGTCTGGTTCTGTAATGTTGCATATCTAGTTATGTTGCACATCTGGTTCTGTCATATAAATACTATAAATTTAGGTTTGTGTGATTTAAAATATACGTTTGCTGGGTTGTAAATCTAGTCTGCAATTTTGTAAATCAAGGCCTTACTTTTGTAAATTTGTATTTTTTTTAATACAGCTGTGTCTGCACAGTTACAAATGTATGTTGTAAGTGTAACATGTAAAGTTGTAAATCTCGGTCTGTATGAAGTTGTAAATCTAAACCAAGTTTGCTACAGAAAATATAAACAGGTGTCCTATGCATAGAATGGCTTGCTTCGCTTGATAACACTCAGATCGGGAGCATATCTCGGATTATCACTCCAGGATATTGAGGTGTGAGGGTTAATGAGCAGGCTGATAGGTTGGCTGCTGCTGCTCTTCTAGATGGTGAACTACTTTATGAAAAAGCTGTGAAAGCTATCTAGGATCAAGTTGACAGTGCAACAGACCAGACAAGATTATCCACACCTTGAAAGACTAATTCACCTGGAGTGAACAGTTGTTCTGGAAGATAGTCAACACTGTGGGGGAAGCATAGGCAGGCTTTTAATCAACTTGCACCTGGCACCATACTGTTTTGAAAAAGAAAATTAAAACTTTTGAAGAGAATATATTTTTAAAACTAACTGGCTAAAACTCTAAGTGATTTTTACCTAACACTGTGGAAAGGTGCCCCAGACAGCAGAGCATGTACTCCAGGACTGCACCGAATCTGACTCATTAAAGCAAACCTTTTGGCCAGAAAGAACAACAGTGGAACGTAAACTCTATGGACCACTGAATGAACTAACAATGACAGTGAAATTTATACAAGAGACAAAATTGCTGATTTAGACACCTTATTTTAGGCGAACGAAAGAAGAAGAAGATCTATCACTTCCCTAAAGTTGGTAAAGCCATGGACAGCCATGATAGTGGCTTCCTGATCAACCCAGCCTCAATTTAATACTGGGCAATGTTCTGGGAAGTAAAGGTGCCCGCAAGATGTTGGCTGTAAACTCCGGTGGAGGGTTCTGGTTGTTCATCCATCTCCGGACTTTGGTCTTGTTCCAGAACCTGAGTGTTGGATGCACCTCTGTTTTACAGACCTGGCTTATTTGTGTGCAGACACTTGGTTCCTTGCCTCTCGGGCAGATGCACTCTGACTTTGAAAGATGCTACCCCCCCCCCCCCCCCCCCCCAATCAACTTTTATTACATGCTTGTTGGGAAGGCAGTGGGTCTGTTCTTGTCTTCCCCACAATGGTGCCCAAGAACCTACGCAGGAATGTTAAGTAATAGTTTCCACAGGCTTTTTTTTATAGTTTTTTTTTGGGGGGGGGGGATAATAGATGCTTTTTTTTAAGAAATGGTCTGTGATGACCGTGTATTGTTTAAAACGAACGTTTAGCTATTAAAATTACATGAAAGAGTTCTCGTATCTTTTAATTCTTCTTCTTCTTCTTTCGTTTGCTTGAAATAAATTATCCGTATCTGCAATGTTGCCTCTAGTATAAACTTCACTGTCTTTTGTAATTCACTCAGCTACCCGTAACATTTGACTTGCACCGATCTTCTTTTGGCCAAAAGTTTTGCCTTGATATGTTGAATTTGTAACAGTCTTGGAGGACATGATCTGTTGTCTCAGGCGCCAGTCCACATGAATACCTGGCTGATTCACTGATTTAAAATTGTGTGTACATGTGGCTGCCAAGTTGATTGTGCCCTGTTCTAAGGCCTATAATATCTTATAATTGATATATTGCAATCTTATAAATGTTTTATAGCTTTCACAGTTTAAAAAAAATATATATTTGAGAAACATCTGTAGCGTTCAAAGATTGCTAAAATGTATACTTCTCTTAGAAATGGTCTAAAACTACCAAAGATTTTCAAAATATATACTTATCATAGAAATGACCTGTAGCTAATAAGGATTTTTAAAAGTAGAGATACTTATTTAAATTAGAAGGAGCCACCATTCTGTGTAGCAGCTAGACGCTTGCCTGCATATCTAAAGGCCGTGGGTTCAAATCCAAATGGAGCTGGACTTTTTTCCAAAACGACTATGCCGCCTAGGTTGAGCTAGCCTTCAATGGGTACCAGGTTAAGTCCTAGAAAATTAAGGTGGCCTACGTGATCACATTACCTGTTGAGCGCTGATTGGTCTATAAAATATAGGTGTAGCCCTATATGCCCAGTTAGCTTGAAGATGTGGAAAAGAGTCTTTTTGTATTCAAAACAGTGTTTTATTGTAAATTATACATTACTGTAGTGTTTAATCAGCATGTACTGAAGCACACAAATTAATCCTTTTCACTGAAAATTTACTTAAATATTTTTGTTGGAAATTTACTGAAAATTGTGCACATAAAATTTACTTAAAAAAATTTGTCCCTGAAAATTTGCTTAAGATTTTTCACTGAAAATTGACTTAATTCTTTTCAGTATAAAGAATTAATTTTTGTGTTTTATTATCTGTTGACCAAATACAGCGAAATATGCCAAGCAGTAGATACTTAATCTTAGGGATGTCTGTAGCTACATATAATGTTTTAAATGTTTCTTCAAAATAAGGAAGAATGAAAGAAAGATATGCAAAATGGTGGAAAGATTAGAGAGACGTTGACACCTTTTAAAGACATTTTTAGGTGAGAACTGGCAATTTACAAGATAAGGGTTAGTCCCCCCCCCCCCCCCCCCCCCCCCCCCCGATCATCCACCAACCCCACATCTTTTCTTTCTAGAAAAATATGGTAGTGAAAAGAAAGTGTTTGAAAAAAGTGATGGTGCTCAGAATAAAGTGTCTTTTACAATTGTGCAAACGAAAGTGGTTTTAAAAAAGATGTCAATATTGCATACTATTGAATACTGCCAGAGAAAAAAAGCCCTGGTTTTTTTCATTACTCAGCCAAAGACTTTTTACTTTTAGCAGCTATTATTGCTAAGCAGTTTTAAAAATAGACACCCATATTAGAATTGCCTATGGCTACATGTATGTTGTTCGTCTGTGCTGGCACAAAATCATTGTTTTTAGCCATGATGGGATTTTTTACATGGGATTTATTTTAATGCCTTTCAGTCTGTTGTGGGCTGTTTGTTTGTTTAAGAAAAAAAAAAAACACCTTATCTTTTAAATTAGTCTTCACGCTCAATTGAGGGCTTGAAAGAACGCTTGGTGAGTCTGTTTGCTTTGTCAATGTGTAATTTGAAATTATGAGCTTGCCAGAAGCTTTTCTGTCAACCATCGAAGTGTATTTTGCTCTTCATTTAGTTTTTTTTTTTTTTAAACGTTTTACAAAATGCCACTTATGTTCGTTTCTTTGTATAGTTTTTGTTTTATTTGATAACTTGCAAAATGCACACAGCAGCACCGTCTTAGTTTAGGTTTTTCACTGGTTAGCTTGTCACTGTTGTTGTTAATCTGTTGTGTGTTTAGCATTTGTCCTTTTTACAGTCCTTTCATATTCATTTTCTTGTCACAGAAATTACACATTTAAAGTAGAAATGGGAAATTTTCAGTTAGTTGCATAATTTTCTCATTATGGCAAATTGCTTTAAGAAAATACCGCCACTGGAAACTTTATTCTGCAGTATTTTGTAAAATATACGATAATGTTTAATTATTTTTCCCACTATTTTATAAGATATGCAACAGCATTTAACTTAATTTCACATTATTTGTTAAGATATTATTTCAGTTCCAACTATATATATATATATATATATATATATATATATATATATATATATTAATATTTTCTGTTACCTTTTTTCAAAATATATTTCAAGTTATATTCAGTTACATTTCACGTTATTTTATGAAATATAAAATACTATTACCTTGAACTACATTACAGATTCTTTTGTAAAACTGGCTACAGTGTTCAGTTACACATGAAATTGTTTTATTTATAAATAATTATATCATCTACTTTTACTTAGTACTATCAAAAAAAAAAGAAATCACGCCATCACCTTGTTGTCTATTTTAGTTTACTTCACAAAACATTCTTTTATGGCTTTATATTTTCTGAAACGAATATTACGAATACCTTGGATGGCCAGAGTAACTAACAACGATTGCTTGAAAGAAGCTAATGAAAGTAGATCTCTATATACAGCAATCAGAAAGAGACAAACACTGCTCTTTGGCACCATATTGAGAAGAGAGACATGGAGAACATCGTGACAACTGGAAAGATCAGTGGAAAGAGGGGTAGAGGCAGACCAAGAGAGACGGTGCTGGATGGGCTGAAACGATGGCATGGAGGGATATCATCAAGAGAGCTGTTCCAGGCAACCAGGGATCGTGATCTGCGGAGATGCATGAGCGCCAGTTGTCTGGGCACATGGTGATGATGATGATGGTATTATCTCTCCACCCACTACAGTGACCCGGAAGGAAAGCTCTGCCACTGCTAGCGTAGCTACGAGCAGCGTCTTCCAATCCAGAGATTAGCCAGAGAGACCACCATGGTCCTCTGGGTGGAGGGTTGAAACATGGGGCCGACATCCTCGCTTTCGTAGAACCTCATTTCATCACAAAAACATATCTCTGTGCCTTGAGGTCTAGGTGTTCAACAACAATAAATACATTTCACTCATATTTGACTATATAATGTAAATGTATCTACATGCAGATATTAGTTTAAAAAAAAGTAAAGGACCCTCTTCCACGCCTTTAGACATGTAGGGCATATAGGGCTAGACCTATATTTTTAAAGACCAATCGGCACAAGATGGGTGATGTGGTCAGCATCACGCGGGCCGCCTTTACTTTCCCGGGACTGCACCCGGTACCCACTCAAGGCTGGGTCGACCTAGGAGCCAAGGTCATTTTTGAAAAAATTCCACCAGGGAGCGAACCCACGACCTTCCGATCTGCGGCGAGCGTCTAGCCGCTCGGCCACGGCGACTCCCCATGCAGATATTAATTGATAATAACTCTAAATTCATAACTCAGAGGATAACTTTAAAAACAAATTCATGAATTGTAAATACTTTCCTGTTTCATGGATGCTGGAAACTAAATAAATCAGGAAAAGCAGTTGCTTGCATTCACAGATTGTGACCAGTTAGCCATGCTATTGTGATGTTTGAACTTTGAACAACGGATCAACATCATGGCACATAGGTAGAAACCCATGAGTGCTCCGTTCTTCCTCTAACTCAAGTCTGAGTCCGAAGAAGCTCAGCACAGTGCACAGGCTCTGTAGCACCGGCGAGAATCCTGAAATACTTTAGGTAGATTTTTAACTCCAAATTTTGCCCTGGCTGCCCCGTAAGGCTACTCTTTTCAATTTCCAACTGCCAAGGGATTTTTTTTACATGCGCAACACATTGCACACGGGCATCCAATCTCACTACCCAGAGAGCAGATGTAATTACTAGAAGTCCAAGTCCATGTGAAAAAATCCTAGCCCCTACCAGGGATTGAACCCGGAACCTCTAGCACTCAAGGCGGACACCATGCCTTGAGACCATGCAGCCCCCTCATGTTATTGTAAAACTGGCAAGCTCATAATTTAATGTTTCCATATCATTATCTCGGTATTGTTTGTGTTTTGATATCGTGTCTCATTCTAGCAACTTGATCTCAAATTGTTTGTGTATTGATGTTATTCATTCTGTCACTTTATCTCAGTATTTTTCTTTCATCATGACATTATGTCTCATGTCAGTCACTTTATCTCACAGGTATTTGTATCTTACCCACTTCCAACACTTATCTCACTATTGATTGTATTTTGATATTTGTTCTCATTTTCCACACCTTATTTTACTTTTGTTTGTATCTTTAAATTGTTTCTCTCATATTGTCTCAGTATTGTTTGTATCTTTATATTGTTTCCCTCATATTGTCTCAGTATTGTTTGTATCTTGAAATAGTGTGCAGCTTTGTGGCTTAGAAGTTAGTGAACCTATTTCACAATACATGATGTACCAAGGTACCATAAATAAAATACTGTTTTCATGGCTTTTGGACAGTGGTGCGAGAGTTACGTGTGTGAATAAATAGACCTACTGCTCCCTATCAAGCATGTTGTAAAAATAGATTAATGAATGGTGTATCTTTCAAAGTCAGAATGCATCTGCTGAAAGGTGAGGAACCAACAATCAGTTTACACGTACGCCAGATCTGTATGTAAAACGGATGTGCATGGAGAACTGTAGTTCTAGTCAAACTTTGATTGGCACATTGCCGTCTTTCCAGACGATAGTGTTATATTGTGCTATGAGGAGGCATGGGACTCACAGCCCATGGCGATGGCGAGTGTGACTAGCAAGACCTGCCCAGGTTAAGAAAAAGAATTCTGCTATTGCATGGGATTTCAAGACCATTGTTGCCAACATTTGTGTTTAATCTGTTTCTTCTCAGATGCTCAGCTGTCATCCTTTCTGCAGTCATTTCTTCCTTCTTTCTCAGGCTTAGAGGTTCACAAACAAGCAGACCTTTCCACCAGAATTTACAGCCCATAAACATGAAGAAGAAGAAGAAGAAGATAGTATAGAAAAATCAGTTTATCTTTAGCTTTTGGCCATTAAATAAGTATTAGCTCTGAAGATTTTAGACACGTTGTTTACAGGTTTTCTTCTTCTTCTTCTTCTTCACGTGGCAATTACTGCCAATTAGTGCCTTTATTATACCACTTTTGTGGTGTAGGCATGGGGGGTCTTTGAGTCTGATGATTTACGGTCGCATGACTAGTGCTGTCGCTACGACTGTGCAAGTGAGGATTTTATTTCACCAGCTGTAAACTGCAGCGGATAGTCTTGGTTATTTATTCATGTCTGGACTTTAGTCTTGTTTCGGAACCTGAGTGTTGCATCCATGTCTATTTTTTAAGTCTGACTTATTTGTATGCAGACTGTTGATTCCTTTCCTCCCAGGCAGATGCACTCCAACTTTAAAGGAAGCTTCCAAGTTAAATGATTCTTATGCCATGCTTTTTTTTTGGGGGGGAGGCTATGTGTCTATTCTTGTTTACCCCACAATGGGATCCCCCAGCCTGCACAGGGAACAAGTTTCAAATTGGACAGCGAAAGCTATTTTGTGTGATTTCCGCTAGCCCAGGAACAGAGCAGTTCTGGTGTGACCCATATGCAGTGATGGTATAATCTCGGCTAACTACCTCGGCTAACTACCTCGGCTAACTACCTCGGCTAACTAACTAACTAAACTTTTATGTTTTTGTTTTTTAAATATAATTTTGTAAATAATATTTATTGTCAGACTTTTGCACCTGTTGACTTTTAATACATACACACCTCAACGGCGTCCGTGACTTAGGTGTTGTGAGTCCGACTCGTAATTCCAACTTACCACGATTGAAGCACACTACTGCGTGGATTTTTATCCTGGTATGGGGCATCGCAGGTCGACTCAGCCTAAAATGGGTACCAGGATGCCTGTTCTGGGGAAGTAAAAACGGCCGGCGTAATGCTGACCACATTACCCACCTAATGCCGATTGGTCTGTAAAAATATGGGGGTTCTTCCCATATGTCTGATGCAGCTAAAAGGTGTGAAAAGGGATCTTAACTTACTTACATACACACCTGACTCACTCACTTATACCTTAACCTTTCTGACACACAATGACTTATACCTCCTCCTCCACACACAGGCCAAAGTGACTGGCAGCCGATCTTCAGGTGAAATTGACGAAGCTTTCCGGGATGCACATCCTACCGAGGAAGGAGCTGTCTCTACCCCCGAGGCAGCCGAAGATGCTTCCAAGATTAAACTTCCTGAGGAGAAGGTTCCTCTTTGAGTACTGAAACAGGAGACAGTCTCTCTGTGGGCACCAGACCTGGAGGAGCTCCAAAGTCAAGCAAGCAGAGTGCTGCTCCCTTTGACTTCTTCATGATGTTTTTATTTTTCATTTTCCAGGGGTTAAACTATGATAACTAGAAATGTTTATGTAATGGAATCTGTGTAATGATTACACATAATTTCTCCCCAATATTTTTCAGTATTTGTATGTCATTCAGAGTGTCATTTTCTTTCATTTGCTGGCCTTATAATTTATCTCCTATTTTTCATACATTCTTTATATCTCTCTTACTATTTGTGTTTTAAAATATATATCTATTTTATGTCATATTCTTGTTATCTTTCATGACTTACTTTATTTTATCTCCCTGTGTTTGGTGATATGTTACTTTCCTTACTTTGTTATTCTGTTTTGAAATTAGCTTGCTGCGTTGTAGTTCCTGGTAGGTGAAACTTTATTTTATACCTCTGATAACTTGCTTACTTGCTCAGTACCAGAAGGTTTAGCAGCAGACGCGAAATGGGGGGAAAATTTAACCTCGATGAAAAATGTTTTTTTTTTTTCAATGTCATTTTTATTTCATTTGAAATTTAACTCTATATATACTTGGCATGTATATTATTGAACTCATTTTCACCCAGAAGATTTTTACAGTAACAAATACTGTTTGGGTCAGAATGAATTAAAATAATACTATGAATTTGCTGAACACAAAATTTCTAGGAAGCTTAATTGAGGGAAGGGGGAAGGAGATAAAAAGGAATAAGATAATTATGTGAGAGATAAGAACTTGACCCTTTCACCTTTAACTCTTGGAGTCCTAGTGAGTTTAGCATCACAGGCCCAAGGGGTAGTAAAGAGAGACATAAGTTAGGCTCATCCTGCGTTAATTGGGCATCTAGACAGGAACCTATGAACATGTGATGCGTTCCTTGGGACTCAAAGAGTTAAGAATCTTAAAAGAAATGACCTTCTTCACAATTTTGCGAACAAGAAACACAATCCTTGTGATTCTCTAAAACCCCTACCACGCAAAACTAGAGGAAGAAAAGAAGAAGCAGAAGAAAATTGGAGTCTTGGCCAGTTTTTCTAATGATCCAGGGGGTCAGACCTTTAGACTACCATGCAGACAGGCAGGCGTGAGAGTCATAGCATCTTCGTGCACATGTAGTTGACTCAAAAACATTGATTCTTATTTTACATGCGTATTGGGTATATAGGGCTAGACCTTTAGTTTATAGACCAAACAGCACTTGGTGGCTGATGTGGTCAGCATCATGCCGGCCGCCTTTACTTCCCAGGACTGTACCTTGTACCCACTCAAGGCGGGGTCGATCCGGGAGCCAAAGTCCTTTTTGAAAAAAAAAAGTCAGGAACCGAACCCATGACCTTCCAATCCGCATGCGAGTGTCTAGCCACTAGACCACAGCGACTCGCAACGGCAGATAATATCTAACAAGAAAGATTTAAGTGTAAATCATACCCACCATGTCTACGCTGCACAGGTGCAGCCAGAACCAAAGCCATCATATTGGTGTAGTGGCCATCACCAAAGACTTCAGGTCATCAAAAAATCTGTCAATGCTGGAAAAACAACTTTTTCGGGGCGGCAGTGTTAAAGTAACAGTTAAGAGTAGTGTGGGTTAGCATAACAAATGGATGTGGCGTGCAGAGTTAAGGAAAGTGTATAATGTAAGCACAACACAACAAAAACACCGGCAGTTGTTTAGTAATGAACGAGTTATTAGTTTCTAGCACTTTTAAAAAATCTTCTGCTTCTTCTTTTGTTCATTTGAAATAAATTATCCATATCTGCAATGTTGTCTCTTGTATGAAACTTCTTGCAGTGAAAAAATTTTCTGGTCACAGATTGTGGGTGTAAAAGTGGGCACCAGATGATAGTGTCCCTGGCTTGCGTCAGACTGTAGGCTTACACATGGCTTGTATAGAAGGGTCCTAATGAGGTTGAAAGGGGTATCTGGGATCTGCCTTGTTGGTCGCCCATCCAGATTGAGGGGACAAACCGATCGATTGATTGATCAATCAGCAGTGTTTTGTGTGTGTATGTGTCAATTGGTCTGTGTCTTTCATACATGGGGTTATTGAATCTTGTCATTGCGGTGGTTTGTAATGTTGATTACTTTGTACTTATTGTTTATCTTCAAACTTATTGTTTTCTAATTGCTTGGTAAACTTTCTTTTTAAAATGTAATTTGCAGTAAGGAAGAACGGCTGGCCCAGTGCAGTAAGGAAGAACGGCTGGCCCAGTGCAGTAAGGAAGAACAGCTGGCCCGGTCCAGTAAGGAAGAACAGCTGGCCCAGTGCAGTAAGGAAGAACAGCTGGCCCAGTGCAGTAAGGAAGAACAGCTGGCCCAGCGCAGTAAGGAAGAACAGCTGGCCCAGTGATTAAAAGCACTGGGCTGTCACTCAGGAGAACCAGTTTTGAACCCTCTAAGGTTATGAATTATTTATGACAGCGGACACACACAAAAATCTGGAAAATGAATAAAAAAATTAAATAAGTTAAACATTAAGAAACAGAAATTAGAATCTGCATTGGGGTATGCAGTGGCAGACATTTGGGAATGTGGATACAAGACATTGAGGATGCATAGGCTGTGAAAGCACATAGGGCTGGAGTATTGGCTAGAGAGAGAGAGAAAGAAAGACTTTCAGGTGTACTGTGATGAGAGAGACGTTCTGTAGGGTACCATAGGGTTATGGTGGGCCTAAGGAGCTCTGCCAGTAAAATTAATTAAAAAGAGGGCTGTGTGAAACAAAATAGTGTTAAAATCACTTGGATGGATCCTATTACCTTCCGCATCAACATAGCTTTAGACATGTGTTTCTCTGCCTTTTTACACGCGTGGCTCACCACAACAGGGGAAATAGTTTCACGGCCCACCTGATAGCTAACCAAACACTGATATAAATTTTTACAGCAATCTCTTTGTTTAATCTGATATCCCAAAAATTTCTTTTTATTCTGACCCTAGATGGGTTCACCCTACAGACAGCAATCCTAAAAGAGGAACAACCTCCTCTCTTACCCTGTTACATGGTAAGCCGAAACATTCTGGTGGCCCACGGGAACTTTTCCATGGCTGACCGGTTGAAGAACACTTCTTCAGGCTACATCCTCAGCCTTTAGCAACCTTTAAAATGGTATAGAATCACAAATGTAGAGCTTTGGGAAAGAACTAAACGAGTTCTTGTGGACCAAGAGGTGAAGGAAAAGGCGCTGGCATTGAATAGGACATATATTGAGAAAACATGAGAAAGATTTAACTAGAATGTCTTTGCACTGGAACCCACTGGGGCAAAGAAATAAAGAAAGACCCAAAAGATACATGGAGAAGGGAGCTAGAGTGTGAAGTTAACTATGAGGAGAGCTGCAGGTGATAGCGAAGGATAGAACAACTTGGCTAGAGTTGGTTGAGAGCCCATTCTCCTTTGAGGGTTAGAAGGGAAGAAGAAATATGCTAGGATAAGTGTGTGTACACTGCTGTGTTGTATTCTGTCTTGAAACAACGGACACCTCCAGACGTGTCCAGTTATTTAGTTTTCCACTTTTAACACCTTATTTAGGTAAAATCCACTTGGAGCCCTAGCGTAGTTTTACAAAATCCACCTTTATAGGGATTCACATCTATAAACCCTTAGCCAGAATAGAAACATGACACTGGTGATTGGCTGTATGAGATAAATTAGTCTTTTGGCCGCATCCTCAGCTTTTGGCAGTTTTTTGAGTTGCCAGAATAAGTGTTTTTACCCTATGGTGTTCTTGCTAACAACATATGCCATGCCTGAATTGATTGTCCACTTATTCTGTTTGCCACTTTAAACACATATTGTTTTGTCTCTCTCAATATGTGCCCACCAAACAGTGTGATATTTAATCGTTCTTTAGTGAACTCAATCACTTTTCAAGCCTGTCATCCTGCCTGTTTTCCTTGTGGCGCTTGGAGCTGGGAATTATTATTAAAACTGGTACCACATATTGTTTAATGTATCTTTGCATACACAATTAATTTCTTTGCATACAAAAATTATTTATCACATAATAAATATGGACATGATAGCACGTTATTTGTGTTTATATTTCTGCACCAAACTCTGTGTTTGTACAATATATATTTCAATATGTGTCCCATAGTAGCTTTTCTTGTAGACATCTGTTGCCTGTCATGGTTCTCTCAGAAAATTTATATCTTTTTTTTACTTTTAATGTGTTTGTTAGTATGAGGCTTCTAATAATGTGTGCAAAACATTTTAATCCATAATATACTTATATAGGTAGGATTCATGGTCTTATTTTGGGGAGTGGGAGCGGAGGGGGTCTTCTAACAAGTGTTCACTTAAATCAGAAGCATTGCACAAAACAAAAACAAAAACATGCCACAGCCTAGCTGTAAACTACAATACAGCTGCCATTTCAATGTGGGTGCAGAAGAATAAGAGGAATCCTATAATATTCAAGCAGACCTACAAACACTTGAAGTCACCAGCGCGGGGGGGAAAAGGTGGCCAGGCATGTGATTTATACATTAGTGAACTTGAACTCTTTCAGTACTGGGCAGCTTGTAATTCAACAGTGTCTTTGCTATAATTTTTGTATCCAAGAGCAACACATTTAAAAAAAAAAAATTATTAGTCTCTTAGAGTTGAAAAATAAAACTGTGGGTCAGAAGCTAAATTATAAAGGCAGTTGAAATATGAGGGGTTAACATAGCCGAAGAATGGGATAATTAGGATAAAGAAATTTATACCAAGTAAATAGTAACTAATGAATGTTTATGAGTTCCCTAGTTCTGAGAGAGTTAAGGACTTGGAATACTAAAGACATAGAAGAAGATCATTAACTTATTAGAATTAGTTACCATCCATTTTTTTTTTAAAAATCTTTTCAAAAGAAAGAGATAGAAATTTGAATGTGCTAGGTCAGGGCAGTAGTGTAGGTGTCTGCGACTTTCCACATTCAATCTTTCCAGAATATT